TCAATTGTTGTAGAACATCCGGATAAGAACCCCAAAATTCCAAACAGCAGAGGCAGTTACTAGTAGAGTTTAATAACGTTCCTTTACGTTTTCTCTTTCAGCAACCAGCTGAGATGACATTGTTCTGTTCTCGCACTCAGTAAGGAATCTCTCTCAGTCACTACGTGCTTCGTGCTGTCACGAAACCGTGTTCATTTACGGAAACTTGGCCCTCCCTCTTTTATTGGTGTCATCTATTCTATGGTGACTTGGCCATGTCTCCCAAAAATAACATACATCCCAGAAACATACAATCAAGTACAGATAAGCTGATCTGAGAATTCTGTTAATTGGTCATACATGAAGATTTTTAAATTATCCTAGTGTATGGACTAAAACTTATCCATCACTGATAAAAGTAGCATTTTCTGCATTATTTTTATTCATCGTTGATTTTACAGCAATTCATCCATGATTATATGATTTATCTTCTCTCAGACTTCCATAAGTTAGTGGCAAAGGCAAAAGAATTAACTTATTAAATGTAAAATTAAAATTCCCTTCTTGATTTACTATTATCGTTATTATTATCTTTATTATTGTTATTATTACTATTATTAGGGAGAGAGAGAGAGAGAGAGAGAGAGAGAGAGAGAGAGAGAGAGAGAGAGAGAGAGAGAGAGAGAGAGAGAGAGAGAGAGAGAGAGAGAGGGAGAGAGAGAGAGAGAGAGAGAGAGAGAGAGAGAGAGAGAGAGAGAGAGAGAGAGAGAGAGAGAGAGAGAGAGAGAGAGAGAGAGAGAGAGAGAGAGAGAGAGAGAGAGAGAGAGAGGGAGAGAGAGAGAGAGAGAGAGAGAGAGAGAGAGAGAGAGAGAGAGAGAGAGAGAGAGAGAGAGAGAGAGAGAGAGAGAGAGAGAGAGAGAGAGAGAGAGGGAGAGAGAGAGAGAGAGAGAGAGAGAGAGAGAGAGAGAGAGAGAGAGAGAGAGAGAGAGAGAGAGAGAGGGAGAGAGAGAGAGAGAGAGAGAGAGAGAGAGAGAGAGAGGGAGAGAGAGAGAGAGAGAGAGAGAGAGAGAGAGAGAGAGAGAGAGAGAGAGAGAGAGAGAGAGAGAGAGAGAGAGAGAGAGAGAGAGAGAGAGAGAGAGAGAGAGAGAGAGGGAGAGAGAGAGAGAGAGAGAGAGAGAGAGAGAGAGAGAGAGAGAGAGAGAGAGAGAGAGAGAGAGAGAGAGAGAGAGAGAGAGAGAGAGAGAGAGAGAGAGAGAGAGAGAGAGAGAGAGGGAGAGAGAGAGAGAGAGAGAGAGAGAGAGAGAGAGAGAGAGAGAGAGAGAGAGAGAGAGAGAGAGAGAGAGAGAGAGAGAGAGAGAGAGAGAGAGAGAGAGAGAGAGAGAGAGAGAGAGAGAGAGAGAGAGAGAGAGAGAGAGAGAGAGAGAGAGAGAGAGAGAGAGAGAGAGAGAGAGAGAGAGAGAGAGAGAGAGAGAGAGAGAGAGAGAGAGAGAGAGAGAGAGAGAGAGAGAGAGAGAGAGAGAGAGAGAGAGAGAGAGAGAGAGAGAGAGAGAGAGAGAGAGAGAGAGAGAGAGAGAGAGAGAGAGAGAGAGAGAGAGAGAGAGAGAGAGAGAGAGAGAGAGAGGGAGAGAGAGAGAGAGAGAGAGAGAGAGAGAGAGAGAGAGAGAGAGAGAGAGAGAGAGAGAGAGAGAGAGAGAGAGAGAGAGAGAGAGAGAGAGAGAGAGAGAGAGAGAGAGAGAGAGAGAGAGAGAGAGAGAGAGAGAGAGAGAGAGAGAGAGAGAGAGAGAGAGAGGGAGAGAGAGAGAGAGAGAGAGAGGGAGAGAGAGAGAGAGAGAGAGAGAGAGAGAGAGAGAGAGAGAGAGAGAGAGAGAGAGAGAGAGAGAGAGAGAGAGAGAGAGAGAGAGAGAGAGAGAGAGAGAGAGAGAGAGAGAGAGAGAGAGAGAGAGAGGGAGAGAGAGAGAGAGAGAGAGAGAGAGAGAGAGAGAGAGAGAGAGAGAGAGAGAGAGAGAGAGAGAGAGAGAGAGAGAGAGAGAGAGAGAGAGAGAGAGAGAGAGAGAGAGAGAGAGAGAGAGAGAGAGAGAGAGAGAGAGAGAGAGAGAGAGAGAGAGAGAGAGAGAGAGAGAGGGAGAGAGAGAGAGAGAGAGAGAGAGAGAGAGGGAGAGAGAGAGAGAGAGAGAGAGAGAGAGAGAGAGAGAGAGAGAGAGAGAGAGAGAGAGAGAGAGAGAGAGAGAGAGAGAGAGAGAGAGAGAGAGAGGGAGAGAGAGAGAGAGAGAGAGAGAGAGGGAGAGAGAGAGAGAGAGAGAGAGAGAGAGAGAGAGAGAGAGAGAGAGAGAGAGAGAGAGAGAGAGAGAGAGAGAGAGAGAGAGAGAGAGAGAGAGAGAGAGAGAGAGTTATCCTAGTGTATGGACTAAAACTTATCCATCACTGATAAAAGTAGCATTTTCTGCATTATTTTTATTCATCGTTGATTTTACAGCAATTCATCCATGATTATATGATTTATTTTCTCTCAGACTTCCATAAGTTAGTGGCAAAGGCAAAAGAATTAACTTATTAAA